GGCAATAGTTACTGAACTCACTCTTCTGCTCTTCCTCACAAATTCCTAGAAATGTCACATTTCCTTTTGCTCAGCACTATTTGTAATCCTGCTAAATTATTTCTGCCATTACATTTTGTGCCTACTTGCATCAGGCTCCACAGTGATGTCATTCAACAACACCTCTTTTTTTTTTTTTAAGCTTTCTGACCATGAAAACTTTTCATAGGAATGTCAGAATCTGTTCTTCCTCCTTGTACTGAAGGATTTGTTTCACCTCTGCTACATTTGTTGCACAGCTCTTCATAAGGTCCCTTCTGTTAGTTATTAGTTGTCAGTCTGTACTCCTCTTTGTCCTAAATGTCTAAATACTCTCTTTCATTCAGTGATACCCCCCCGTATTGCATTCAGGATTTTTAACATGTTTCACAGTTTAATGTTCCTCTCTTCTCTCTGATCGGTGATCAGGGTAAGGGCTGTGGGGCTTAGACAGTCCTCTCTTTTCCTATTCTTTTTCAGCCTCCTGCTYTGGTTGCTGTGGCTCACCTTCACCTCTTCCCTCGTTCAGATCTGAGCCCTTCCCCAGACTGTTTTGCATAAATGTCCATGCGCAGTAATCACAGACTTTCTTCAGGTTTGTTTTCTGTGTATGAACCACTTGAAAACCTTTGGGTTTTCCTTAAACTTTAAAAAAATCTGGTAAGGAGCTATCACGCTCCCCACAGCAGAGCAAAGTTTCCACAGCTTCCCAAAATAGCTAATACCTTTACCTGCAGAAATGCACAGAGCATTTTGGTCCCGTRCATCGGTGAAATGTGTCTGAAAAGYACCCAGCAGTGGTATTCAAATCCAACACCACCAGAAAAACACATGAACACCATGCCAAAACCTTCACGCAGGCTTCTAATTTTAGGCTTTAACCTTTCCAGTGCCCTGAAGAAGCCTTCAAAATCTCCAAAATCACCGACCTCTTTGGAAAACATTGGCCTAAATGCTTTACAAGTACTTGACATTGTTAAAAAAGTATTAACAAAGCTTTATAGAAATGAGTAATCTTTAATAATTGGTTTCAGCTTCTCAGGCAGCGTGCAAGTGCTTATTTTGAGAGAAATGCTTGGCRCAGCTTGAGAAAGAACAGCCAATGCCCCTGCTAGCAGAGGAATGAAGAGCAATAGGATGTATCCTTAATTTCAGACATCCTTGGTGACGTTGGCTTTCAGAAMTGGAAGTGCCTGGATGTGACCACATGCATACATGAGCACATTATGAAATGATTGATTGCTCAATGAGTATTTTTAATTAGTATTTTCTTTTTAAATGCTCCATTGACCCTCTTCACACAAGACATTTTTACCACGTGCAGTTTTTATTGGAGTAAACACAGACCCTTCAGATAGYGCCTTCAAGCCAATTCAGAGGTACCTTGATCCTGTTTTGATTTTTTCCTTCCTATGATTCATTCCTTTAATCCCAGTTATGTTTTTTCAAGTGAACTCTACATACCCATACTGATCCCAAGAGTTACAGACTCAAAGGACTGGGGCAGASAAGAGGATATACAGGATAAGAGTTCTATTTTAAGCAAAACATTTTTCTTAGGTCATATACTTTTAGATTTAATGTCTCTGTAACAAGTAGGACTGTTCAGGTTATTAATATTTCCTATATTCAGTGAGTGAAATACAACACATTATTGCAACAGACCTGTATTTGACAAGGTGAACTTGCTGCTGATTTTCTCTTTGCTGTTCATGTGGTTTGGGGTCCTTCTTGCTTATTCAGGATGAGGATGAGGAATGGACTGAATGCTTTCATATCTAATGAAGTCAGTTAAGCAGTTCGGAGTTTTAGCTCTGCAGGAAAATGGTTGAAGGTTTCAATTGTTTAAGATCTACGTGAAAACAATTTACATACCAAAATCAATTGACATTTTCACTCTATTTTCAGATTTTTTTTTTAATTAATAATTCTAACTGTTTTGCAAAGCTGCGATTTACCTGACCCCAGGGGAAAGCAGAGCTCATTTTACATATGAAAAYCTGAGCCTGGTTTGCTCCGGAGGAGGTCAGCCCCAGAGTCCTGAGCACACACTGCTCCTCTTCAAGTTTCAGTGACAGAGCCCAGTCAGCTACTGCCCAGAGCACACGGCTTCCCGGGAAGGGCCAAGGGAGAACATCCTGGGGTCAGAACACTGGTGAGGTTCACCAAAAGGTAAAGATATATTATGCCTGGGATTGATATCCAACATTCAGGAAAGCAAAGGAGGGGGAAGCTAACAGAAGAAATTGTATTTCTTCTTTTCCCCTGACAGAAAGGGTCCAGAGTGGGAGATCATCCTTCTAGGAAGGAGAACACAGTTACCTGCCTACATCAGCTCCACGACRTTGCATAAAGCCTCATTTAGTACCAGGTAATGATCTTAATTTAAGCTTACATGTCCCTGCCCTTGCCTTGCTACTGTGCATTATTGGCTTGCAAGTTGCTTATGCTAAAGGGCAGAACAAAAATAAATTTCCATACTCCCAGGCATGTTCCATCAGCCTGTGCTGGAGCATGGGCCAGTGTCCAAATACTTTGGATGTGAAGTGAATTTGGGCTCCAGTACAGGCTCAGACCTGCTCATGAAATTGCAGGGTGATGACACCAGGGTCCTGCTTTTATATTTGCCGTTGACTGGCTGCCACCACTGTGACCCCCAACTGTGCCTCCATATCCCAGCTTAAACATGACCTTGGCTTTCTATGGCTGGCAGTGACAGGTTCACTCTGTTTTGTGTTACTGTTGATGAGAAACTGGAAATTCTGAATTAATTGGGCAGAGCTGTAGCTCGGGTAGGTAAAGATTCTCTCTTGGTTAATTTTTTTCATGTAATAGTTTMTGTTTTGGTCATATAGTCTGAACACCTACCCCAAGACAGGGTGCCATTTTCAGGCTCGGAGATGGCTGTTGCTGGAGGGCTTCGGTTGGGCGCCACAGAGCCGGCACAGAGGGACTTGTCACGAAGGGACTGTCACCAAGGGACTGTCACCAAGGGACTGTTACCAAGGGACTGTCCCTGTGGAAAGTGCCATCCCGATGCACCTGAAGCTTCTGCCAGCTCCCGGGGCGGGTCGGGTATACTCGGGGAGAATACGGGGTGTGCTCCCCGACCGCGGCAAATGGACGGCGGTGGYAAGAGCTCGCAGCGACGGAAGCTGCTGCCGTCCATCGCTGCTGCTGCCGACACTCTCCCTTCCCCTCKGTTTCTCCCCGGCTCCTCCCGGGACGCTGACGGCCGCCGGGCGGGGCGGCGGGACTACAGCTCCCAGGGCCGCGCGGAGCCGGTGACATCATGTGCGGTGGCTCGGAGGTCACATGCCCCGCCGGCCCCTTTGTTTTGAGCGGCGCTGGCAGCGCGACCGGCGGCGGCGGCGGAGAGGCCCGAGCGCTGCACCGCTCCGGATCGCACCGCTCCGCTCCGCGCTCGCCCACGCACACGACCCGACCCCGGCGGCGGCGGCTCCTGAGGGGCGCAGAGCGGCACGGCGCGCTCCCGGCTGTGAGTGCGGGACGGCGGGGCGCGCTCCCGGCTGTGAAGGTGGGGAGAGAGGGGTGCGATGTTCCGCGGCGGGCCGAGAATCCCCGGGAAGGACGCGGGGGCCGCTGAGGGACAGCAGGGGCGCGGGGCCGAGACGCGGGACAGGCCGGCACCGTTAGTGGCGCGGCGGGGACAGCGCGTCCGGGGCTGTACGGGCAACGCGCGGCGGCGGTGCCACGTTGGGGGAGGGCTGTTGGCAGCGCCGGAGCCCGGGACCCGCGGCTGTGTGTGTCCTGCGGTGTGCTGGTGGTGGTGGTGTTCCCCCCCGCCACGGTCCCGTGCGCGCAGCGGTGCTGGGCTGGGCTCCCTCCCGTCCCGTCCCGTCGGGCAGAGCGGGCGGGGGGCTCGCAGTGCCCCCGCACCGCCCGCGGCCGTTTCGTAACGCGGGTCTGCCCCGAGCCCCCGAGCCCCCCGCGGGCGCGGATTGGGCCGGCGGGCGGGGGGAGGCGGGGCCGCGGGCGCGGATTGGCCGGGGCGCGGGGGGGCGCTGCGGGCGGCCCGGGGTGAAGGTGAGCTGGAGGGCGGGACGGGAGGAGCCATTTTGTGCCGCCGCCTCCGGCCCCGCTTTCCTTGCCTTCGCTCGGTTTCGGGGCCGCGATGTTCCCTGCGGGAGCGGCTRCAACGCCCTGGGATGGAGCCGCGGCAGCTCCCGCGGGCTCCCTGCCCGGCTGTGCCGGGGCCGGGCGCGGGCGGGTCCGGTCTGCAGCTTTGCCCGCTGGGCTCCCAGYCACTCCGGTGGCCGGGCCGTGCTCCAGCCCGACGGGCACTGCCCGCTGTCGGATGTGCTGGCATCTGGCTGAACCCCGGCAGCCTTGGGAGCACTGGCCGGGGCTCAGGCTCTGATTTGGTTCGGTKTAACAAAGTGTGAGTTACGTGCAAGAACGACAGCGAAACAAAGAGGGAAGGATAGTTACTTTTTGACGGTTTCTTCCCCCTACATGGATAAATACTACGCAGTGTGCTTTCTTTTCTCCCTTCCCCCCTCTTCGGTGGGTGTGTACTTTACTGAGGGACCTTTTCGCTTACAAAACGGTAAATAAAGGATTCTGCAGTTTTAAGGTGTCCCTTTTCGATGCTTGGTTTTGTTTTGTTTTACTTAATAATCATGACTCTCATGTCCAAAACAGTTCCTGTTTTTTACTGGGTGACTTTTGAGGGCACTCAAGGCTTTTGTGTGTGTGTGTCATTAGCCTTGGTCACTATTGAATTTTGACCTTTTTTCTTTAAAATCAAAAGGGTGTCTTACATTAGAAAAAAAACCAACTCAAGTGCAACTAACTTTTACTGTGTCAGTCAGCTTGATCACTGTGTTGTTTACTAGTTACTTGGTATTCCTAAAGACTTCATCTTAGACATTCAGGTCTTCAATTTCTTTTGTAAAGCAAGAATTTTTATATTTTTAGAAAGTCTTCTAAAAACAACAACTTTTTGGTCTTTATCGTATCACAAAGAAAGATAAAAAAAACTTAGTTTTTAGTTTGGTTCTTTTTGCTAGAGGGAAAGGTTATGCTTTTTTTCCCCACCCCCCTCTTCCTTTCAAAACAAAAAGAGCACGTGCTGTGGTTTGGCCAGGGTGCTGCAGAGGGGAGGTTGTTTTCTCTGACTCCATGGTAAGCACACACGTGAGATGAAGCGAGCCTGCCCAYCGCCTTATCTCCAATCACAGAATAACCGGAATGTGCCAAACCTGAGCCGCACTTCCCAGGCCTCGCCATGACAATACCGTTCCTATATTGAGTTTCGTTTCTCGGGGTGCTGCTCACAGCACACCAGGTGACAGCGGACAGGGCTCATCTTGTGCTGGTGGCTGTGCCTTGCCCGCCCCTTCCCCAGCGCCTGTTTTCTCCCCTGACAGGCRGTCAGCTCCAGGCGAGCGCGGTGCTGCAGCGGTGGCACGGCCGGACCTCACCTCTCAGCCGCAGTGGCACCGCAGGAGCCCAGAACAGCCTCAGGTACTGAGAAACCCCACCCCGAGGGCGAGCTCTGCAGGCACAGCTGGGGACAGGGCGTTGCTGAAGGGCCTGGCGCCGGGAGCTCGGTGACACACAGGTGACAGAAACACCGCCGCTGTGCGTGAAGGGAAAGGGGTAACACACAGGAGGGTGTCGCAGTGGAGGAATGGGAGTTTAGTGCAGTGTAAGAGTATTTTGCGTAGGAGAATGTCAGGGAAAACATTTTATAGATCTCTTTTATCAGCCTCTTAATTTGGTTTTTACGGCATTTCTGAGGAACAGGTTGTGTAGACAAGTGTAGGTGAAGGAAATAGAGGAACCTGAACTCCTGGTGAACCCAGCTTAACTCAGAAATACATATGTGTGAGGTAACATCCATGTCAGAGCCACATCTGTGTTTGTAAAGCATTTTTAGAACCTGTTGATTGGAAGTGKGATTTGTTTTTCCTTTCCAGTTTTTAAATGGGCAAACTCTGAATGGTTGAAAATCTATCCTTGTTGACCCTTGCTCAGACAAGCAATCAAGTAGATTTTGTATTATTTTTTGTCTGATCCAGTAATTCCCCTGTATTTTTCTATGGGTGAATGTAGTTTTGTTTTGTCTAAACTTACTGAAGAGATCTGAGTGTTAAATTTTGTAGATGACTGGTGTTTTACAATGCAGGGTCTGTAGGCAGGTAAGGCATGTAAGTACCTCTGCATACAGGGAAGGTGCAGACAGGTCTATCCTGCTCTATCTCCCCCCTTTGCACACTGTCTCAGCCTCAGGCACAGGTTCTCCTCTGCCTTTCCTACTTTGGGGCAGGCAGCTGGAAGGTGACATTTTAAAACTGCCAGAGCAAGATTTGCGGGAAGGCCACACGTATACTAGATAGAGCTGAACATGTGACAYTGTTACTGATAGGCTTGTGAAATTGTTTTGCTGAAGCAAACCTGCAGAAGTAATTAACTGGACAGAACTTGAAGGAAAGTGCATTCAAAAACAGTAAGTTCTGCAATGAAGTGGAATTATTTCTCCTTTCTAGTACGTTATTTGTGAATTTACAGTATCTGTCCCCTTGATTAGCTTTTACTCTGTGGAATTTTTTTGTTCTTGCATTTCTTTAAACCATTAGGATATTAAAAAAATTCATTTCCTGACCCCTTGTTTTGTGATGTTCCAAGCATAAAGAAGACATTACTTCCTTCAGTGAGCAGTTGTAACCCAGAGCTCTTGTTTCTCTTTATTAGTGATTGCATAATACGGTGCTGTCTTAACTTCCCACATAATGAGRAAGATACCATCTTGGAGGATCTTTACCTAGTTACTGTGTTTTGCCCTTACATGCAATGTATCAGGCTCTTGTTTCTCATTTGAGGGTAACTTTCTTTGGAAAACGTCCATTAGCTCTTGTGAAGTTCTTCTGATTTAAATCTGTGATGCTGAAATTGAGCCTTTAGGATTTGTATTTATATTTATATTTGCATTCTTACAGTTCCCTTTGCTGCTGCTTTGTTTCTGCCAACTTTCTCATGCTAGTAGTATGTAGTTAGTTGCGGATGATTTTCGGTGTAGGGGGTAGGGTTTTAGCAGCAAAGCTCGTGAGGTGCTGCGGGTGGCTTTTGTTTTTGTTTTGTATCCGGCCTGTGTCATTACAGGGTGAAATGATTGTGCAATACATTGGATAGAATGTCAGCTACAGATCAGATTGTCCATTTGTGCCTCGTTAAAGCCTCTCTGAAGCAATCAGTTATTAGATAGCTCATTGCAACARTGTTTTTCAGGCATCAAAGTGACAACTGGTCCTATTTTAAGTCAAATTAAAATTACATATTTTATTGGGTAAATGAGCCCCATACCAAGAATTTACCTTGTAAATTTGTGTAAAAAATTTTATTGGGAACATGATAGTTTTAGAACCTCTTTTCTCAATGAGTTAAGGTACAGCACACATTCTTTCCTTGYKCTTTGTTCAGATGGTGCCTTTTAAAGGTGCTGTTTAAAAGGCAGTAAAAAGGCTGTTTAAAAAAAGCACGTTCATTGTGTTCTATATTAAGTGATGACGTGGCCAGTCTGGGACTGGGTAATTGCAGCTCTGAGGATGGGAGCTCATCAGGAAATGAAGTTGCCGTGAGGAGTTGATGTTTCCTGACTGTGCATTCAGGGAAAACAAATAAAACCTTTGGGAGGCATGAAAAAATTTCCATAGACTTTAAAATAATTCMGTTTGTGGCCTTGTAGACGTAGAAATAAGTATTRCAGGCATTTGGAATYGTACCAATGTCAGGCCTGAGAGGGTGTTTTGTCCAGCCTCTTGCTGSCTCAGTTTGTTTGGGTGAACAGTCATCCAGGTCACTTCTATGCTCAGGAGAGGCAAAAAGCCCCRTTGTGGTTGAAGTCACTACCTCAAACATGCACTCTTTGCAAAGTCAGCTGCATTTTCTTCACMTACAAACTTTAATAYTGGCATATGCAAACGTTKKAGTRTTTGATTTTTGCAACTTCAGGTCTCTGATAATGTGAGTGTGTTTGCATGCTGGGAGGAACCTTTACACTTGTACTTGAAACTGGAAGGTGTTCAGGGAAAAAAGTCCTGCTAATAATTATTTGCCGGAGTACTTCGGAAACAGAAAATCTCCCTGTCCTCACCAAGTTRTCCTTTGTTCATATTTCCAGTAATTTTACACAAACAAATGTAATTCACCATTCTATTCTGTGTGCTAGCAGTTGACATKAATTTTTAATAGAATCATAGAGCATCCGTGAACTAATTTTTACGTGTTAGGAATGAACAGGTAAAAAATTATGGTCAAGGTCATTTGTTGAGATCAGATTGTTTTAACACTAGTGTTATAAGACTTGATTATGATAGACTTTATAATGAAAATGGAATGATTACTCAATTAAATTTTTGCTTCTACAATTTCAGTCTTCCTCTCCACCCTCCTTTTTTGCTAATGCTATTTTATTAGTACTTTGRAGGATGCAGCTGAAATGAGGATTACACTGAAAAAAGGGAAAAGTCAATGCTCCGGATCATTATCCAGGAAATCTTTGCTTCTGTCAGCCAGGTGATGTGCTGGAGCGTAGATCTTGAGATTTTTTATCTTGAACACCAATGCAGTACCAGCGTTGCCGGGGCAGTCAGAAATTGCATTCCAGGACAGCTGTTTTCTGGGTATATTTTGCATTTAACGTGGTGCAGACAGGGCTGCACTGCCCTGTGCAAGGTGCACACGCATTTGCCCCGTGCCACTTCTAGGAAAGGTCAACAGTTGCACCAGTTCTTAGAGTGAGCAAGCAAATGTCTTGTCTAATTCCTGTGATGAAGCTAAGAATGTGCCAGACTGAATACTSAAGTGTTTTAATTTTTCAGACCGTTGCACTGAGAAGGAGAAACTCTGCGAATTTTTCTCAATGACTCTATAGCCAACTGATGTAACAATGGTACTAATATTGGGACGCAGACTGAATAGAGAGGAGAGCGGGATACGAGATTCCCCTGCAACCAAGCGGAAAGTTTTTGAAATGGACCCGAAATCATTGTCAGGCCCTGAGTTTTTCGACTTCTCCTCGGGATCATCCCATGCAGAAAGCATTCTCCAGATCTTCAATGAATTCCGAGACAGCCGGCTGTTCACCGATGTCATCATCTGCGTGGAGGGCCGGGAGTTTCCCTGCCACCGCGCCGTCCTCTCGGCCTGCAGCAGCTACTTCAGAGCCATGTTCTGCAACGACCACAGGGAGAGCAGAGAGATGCTGGTGGAGATCAACGGCATTTTTGCCGAAGCCATGGATTGCTTTTTGCAGTACGTGTACACGGGCAAGGTGAAAATCACCACGGAGAACGTGCAGTATCTCTTTGAAACGTCGAGTCTGTTCCAGATCAGCGTCCTGCGCGATGCCTGCGCCAAGTTCCTGGAGGAGCAGCTGGATCCCTGCAACTGCCTGGGCATCCAGCGCTTCGCAGATACGCACTCGCTCAAGACGCTGTTCACCAAGTGCAGGAATTTCGCGCTGCAGACATTTGAGGATGTGTCCCAGCACGAAGAATTCCTGGAACTGGGGAAGGACGAGCTTATTGATTACATTTGCAGCGATGAGCTGGTGATCAGTAAGGAGGAGATGGTGTTCGAGGCCGTGATGCGCTGGGTGTACCGCGCGGTCGAGCTGCGCCGGCCGGTGCTCCACGAGCTCTTGACACACGTCAGGCTCCCGCTCCTGCACCCCAACTACTTTGTTCAGACTGTGGAGGTGGACCAGCTGATTCAGAATTCCCCAGAGTGCTATCAGCTGCTGCACGAAGCCAGGCGATACCATATCCTTGGAAACGAGATGATGTCTCCCAGAACTAGGCCACGCAGGTGAGGAAGTTTTTTTAACCTTTTTTTTCTGCAGAAGGGCGTAATTTGATGTACAGGTGTTTGATATGCACATGCCCCGAGAAAATTCTCTTGCACATCATTTTATTTTGCTAAATTCTGGAGCTKCTGTGGTTACACTTCTGTGTTTTCCCACATGCATGAAGCTCACGCATCTCTTGAAAATGTGCATAAATGGGTCATTTTGCACAGAGCACTTTATTGCTCTCAAACAAACAACTATTCAGGTAAGTGAAATTACCTTCCCTTGCAAGTAAAATGCTTTCTTAAGGTTTGCCAGGGGAGATCTTAAGGTATTTCATACAGTAGCAGTGTCTTGAAGAGAGCTTACTGTGCTGGGGCAGGTAAACCACTCCATTTCCCCATCTTTCTTTCTGTAAAGTTGTGTAAGTAAATGTACAGCACACCACAAAGGATGTGGATGGGGGTATTATGTATTCAGGGCATTTCCTTGCTACATCACAAATACTTTACAGATGGAGTAGCACATGTATTTGTAATAGACAGCTGAACAACAGGTTCTTAACTGTAAAGAAACCAAATATTGTATTTTTGAAGAATCATGAAACAGTTACTGAAGAATTTCATGCTCATTCTGTGACATTTTAGTAATTCAGAATTGCTGCCACTTAATAATGTGTTACACAAATAGGTGACTGAGGTTGCAAGAAGAAATGAGGAAGGATCCATTAGTGGCATTTATGAGCAATGGTTATTATGATTTTTTTTTCCTTAAAAATATTTTCCCAGTCTCATGTCATTGATAGTAGACACAATAGTTTAGAGTTGACTCCAGCTGATTTAAGCTGTATTTTATAAAATCATGTTACATTAAGGTGATGCAATGGTCTGGTCTAGACAAACAGATTGTGTTAGGAGTTACTCCTCTTCGTTTACTCTTACTCATATGTGGTTGCTGTACAGTCACTGTGCAGGGAACCTTTATTTTGTTGGCAGGTATAAAAGGCTTGCTTAAGGGGGGGAAAAAATACTTGGCAGTGTTTGCCCCATTAGTGGCTTTCCAGTCTTCAGTCCTCCATGAGAGAAGGAACTCTTCTTAAGCTTGCAGCCCTTGCTCCCAGACTTTCTAAGCTGTGTACTGCTGTGGGGGGCCTTTGGAAGCATTTGGATCAGGGCAGTCTGGAAATTGCTGCAGTGATTGTTTCTGACTCTGGGCCTGAAGGAGGGATCATGGGAATTCAGACAGTTGCTGGGGGCTGCAAGCTGCAGTATTTGGTTTGGTGTTTGTTCTGCTTTTCTTACTCAATTGGCTAAGGAAGGCAAATACACTGAGTCTCAGAAGTGTGTCAGTGTGTGGGGTGTATGTGCTTGAGAATCTGAACATCCCCGGAATGGTGCTCCAGTTTGCAAATRAAGTACCTTGCCTAATACAGGTGATTTCTGAAGCCAGGGGGGTTTGTTGGTTTTGCTGCTGAGTTTATTAAACTGCAYTGGGAATTTGAGTAGGCACGAACAAGAGAAGTAATTTACAAAGAGRAAAACTGGCTGGCCTCCCAGCAGGAATTTTTTCCCCTTTTCTATATTACATTCATGGAATAGTTCTTTGTCATTTGTTTCTGTTGTCTGTTTGTTTCTGTTGCCTATAGCAAAAAGAGATCATGTTTTAAAATAGTTGCCAAGTCCCCCTTCCCTCATGTTTTCATTACACCTTTTTGGGCATTTTGGGGGGGTTTGGGGAGGGAAGGGTGGTGGAGAGCTCTGTTCCTTCTTTGTTGCCTTCATCCAATGTCTTTTCTATGTAAACTGTTTCTAAAAAGAGACAGGCTGCAGGATAAAAAATTCCTACACTGGTGCTTTTACTGAAACTTTGGGAAATAAATTATTGTAATTGGTTGTCTGGGTATGAATGCACCCACAGGTAGAGTGGGTTTTACTTTTTTTTTTAAAGAACTGACTATATTGCAGTTCACAAGTTGATTTTCATTTCTTTTTGAAGCCACTAAAGAGTTATCTGATGTAAGTAAAAGTTTAAAGTGTGGCACARCTGTTCTCTTTGCTATTAAGGCATCGTTGGCAAATGCAGGTCTTTCTGAAAGAGCCTTTCAGTTATGGACTTGTAACAACACAGTGACATCTTGAGGCTGTCCCTCCTGCTCCCTGTAAGCTGTCCTGTCCCTCCTGGACSTGTTGCACAGCAAATCTCCAAGCTGAGAGCAAGCAGTGAGCTGTGACACATTTCCATACCCAAACCAGCAGGGCCTCTTCCTTCTGTGTGCTTTAAGTTATCTTCAGACTTTCACCAAAGCTTCTGTTAAACTGTTAACAATACAGGAGAGTCCTCTTTAACCAGAAATTATGATGTTTATACATTTTAACATGTCCTTTTTGGCTGCCTTTGGAAAGCTTTAATGTAGTCTCTTATTTTTCCCACTCAGAGATGGGTTTCTGTTTCACCTTGTATTTTGTCTGCTGTCTCATTTACTACCCAAAAGTGATTTAACAGTGTGGAAGGAAAAAACAGTTATTTACCAGAATTTCTGTGATTTGTTTTTTGAACTTACCGTGGTTTTTGAATGTATTCTGTTTGAACTACTGAAAGTTCTTGTGTGCAACTCATGYTGTGCTGGTTGGTGTTTTCACCTCATCAAGAGGTGTGTGTGGCATCAGGAGGACCCCTGGAAAWCCTGCTCTTGGGAATGCATGGAATTGTATGACACTGTTGATTGTCTTCCACTCCTGCTTTTCTATTTTATGCCCCTGTTCGTGGTGGGACATTCTCTTCTGGAACCTTTAGAGCCTTTTTTAGCACCTGTGTTAMTTTGCTCACACAGTTTCTTCTGAGGGCTACCAGGAGGGCTTCCTGTACTGCTGGTTGAGGTCACAGCTCTTTCTAACCTTCATTTAAATATGTCCTTAGTTCTTTTCTGGAATTAGCCTTTGCCTGTATGGGGTTTTTTGTGTATTCCTACTACATTTTGCTTAAAAAACCTTTCTCTGTCATTTGAAAAAAACCCTGTATTTGGAACTAACCATAAAACCTACCCAGTGCAAGACTCATTCAAGAAAATATAATGAAGAAAATTGTTCTTAGCTGAGGAATATGGTCATATAGGTACTAAAATGTTTGGAAAACTTCTTGTTCTCTTTGAATTTGAAATACTGTGCTAAACGAATATTCTCTTAGAGAGAAAACCTCCATCCAGCAATTCATAAAGACTTTTTCAGCAGTTCAGCAAAGACTTTTTGTTCATTTAGTTTTAAACCAAAGGTTGATAATCTGGCACAGTTAGGTTTTCAGTGAGTGAGTGGAGGCCTTAATTCTAATCTAGAAAGTAATCCACAGACAAACCTCTTTGTACTCAGCTGGTGTATTTGGGTTTGCTTCTAAGGCAAATTATGAGATAAGTGTCCTGCTTTTATGGAAGTTCTTTTCCTGGGTAATGCTTTGTTGGCACAGGAACTTCCCCTCTCTTACCCTTTGAGAGATTCTTTTCAGAGTTGTTCCTCAAAAAAGCAAAAACCAGTAAACAGTAAATACATAGAGACCAGGAAGGAGCATGACTTCAAAGCTGAGCAGCTGACAAGAGTTTCTTCTGCCGGGTTCAGGTGCGTACSTGCCATTCCTCAGACACATCTTCTTTATATCATCCTGTAGGGTGTTACCATTTAGCATTGCCTTTGCCTATTTATAATATTCTGAGTAGAAATATATATGGAATATTTAAATTATGGTGTGTGGTGACAAGGGGAKAGAAGGGCTAACTAGTTTTATTCATGATGTTTCAAAATAGGGAAAGCCTCATCAGGATTTGTAGGTGTATGTATGTGTAAGTAAGTTCACGTTAGAAATTTTAGGGACAGATCATGCAACTTTTACCTCAAATCCAGTCCTAAGTCGTCTTCTTTATTTTTGAGAGAAGACTGCAGTACTCAGCAATGGTATGAGTGTCTGTTCTGTGAGATTCCTATTCACGGTGGGATTATAGTACAAAGCACAACACAACAAAAAGGCTCATCAGAAATAAAGTCAATCTTGCTTTCAGTTTTGCTTAAATGAAAGCAGTCCTTGAAAWAACTATGTCAGTGCAAAATGCTTTATTTTSAAAATGCCCTGACAAGAAAGGAGTTTGACAAATGCTGACAAGAAATTRTAAGTCTGAGAGGAGGAATAAAGGTGGTCGCAATTTGATTTGCACATCAAAGATAGTAGATTGATTCTCTGCATTCAAATGCGCATTAATTTTTGTTAGATATGTTTTGTTACTGCTGTGAATATAGAATATGTGTAATGCAAAAGCATCTGGTTAGTAGAAGGAGAATGAGTGTGTGGAATAGAACTGAAAGAGGTATTTGAGTACATCACAGGCTGTCTAATGCTTAATTTATTCACACTGAGTTTTAATTTTTGGGTTTAGGTTTGAATTTTTATTTCAGTATTCCTTAATGTTTCCTCCTTCCACTGCTGTTTTTCGTTTTACTGTGCATTGGCCCTAAGGTCTTTCTGGTTTTCCTTATTTTGGTGACTAAATTCCTTCTGCTTTTAAACATTTGTGGTATTTAGACTATGTAAAGTTTTACTAATTTTGTAAAGCTCTGGGGGGGAATGAAGATTGATATAATTATGAAACAGCTTGCTCATGTCATTGTCTCAAGCCTTGCTTGAACTCTTTTTCTGATCTATGTGTACAGTCAAAGGAAAAATATTATTAGAGTAAGGGCTTTCCTTTTGTATTATTTAATTACATGGATTTAAATAGAACATAGCAGTGCAACTCCACCACTTACACAGGACATCTGTCAGTGTGGTAACCTGCTGTGTAGTGAGACAGCTGGAAACAGTGAAAACCTGTTCGCTAAATGACTCTTTCATCTTTTTTCTTTTTCATTGTTGTGGAAGTTCAAGCTAAATAGTAATTTTTCTGATTTTCACATAGTTTTGAAGACAATGTTGTTTGGCCTTCATGTACTAATGAATGTCTCCTACATCTTAATTTTCTGTGTTCACTTTTTTAGATCAACTGGTTATTCTGAGGTGATAGTTGTTGTTGGAGGCTGTGAACGAGTTGGAGGGTTTAATTTGCCATACACGGAGTGCTATGATCCTGTAACAGGAGAGTGGAAGTCACTGGCTAAACTTCCAGAGTTTACCAAGTCTGAATATGCGGTGTGTGCTCTGCGGAATGATATTCTTGTTTCAGGTGAATAATCTTAAAAAGTTTAAGGCTTCTTTGTTTGCTTGGTTGTTTGGTTTTTGTTATATCCTCTTTCTGGGGTGTTTTTGTTTTGGTTTGCTTTTTAAGTAGTGTGGCAGATCTTCGTACTGTGAACTTCCAGAAGCTCAGCTGAAAGTCACTTTCTGATGTAAATGGTGAACACCAGCCCCAGCATAATCTTACTGTAAACAAAARCATTTTCTGGAGGTTTTGTTTGGCATGAATCCGCAGTTTTTTACAGCTGATTCCAGGATATCAATTGTATTTCAAGAGACCRGCTTATGGCTGCTTTAAAATACAGCAGGAGCCTGTGTGCAACAACAGCTGGGAAACTAGAGACAAAAAATCCCAAGCAGGCTTTTCCCAGCAACGTGTTCAGTCCTTGAGCAAGAGGAAATGATAGGATGAAGCTGATGGTGTAGACACCAKGCTCTGTGTGTTAGTTTAACCAAAKAARTTGACCCCTCAGGTGTGTGTACCTGTGTCATTTGAACAAAGTGTAAAACAAAGGAGATGCTCACGGAGCGGGCAGAGGAGCACTGGGTGGCAGGGATGTGCCAGGGGCATGGGATTTCAAGAGTCTTATCCAGGTAGTGGCACTACAGGAAACCTGAAGAGCTTGGGCAAAAGCCATTAAAATGCATCCCAACTTCAAGAAATAATCTAATGTGATGTCAGCRTGTTATGTGGAAGGAAAACAAGGAAGACAATTTACTGTGTGATTTCATCTTTGAAATCCACTGGAAATTACTTTTTCAGTGTAACATATAAATACTGGAAGATCCTTATTACATCCCAAAAGGGGATATAAAGTTTTCATTGTCCACTCTAGAGGGTCSTGTTAMAAGTTAGCATTACCCATTCAGTATTATTCATATTGGCATATGTTTTATTTCAAAGGTGGAAGAATCAATAGCCGGGATGTCTGGATTTATAACTCTCAACTTAACATTTGGATCAGAGTTGCCTCCTTAAATAAAGGCAGATGGAGACATAAAATGGCTGTTCTTCTGGGTAAAGTAAGAGAAGTATACTTTTAATTTTTTTATAGTGGCAATGTTTATTGTATGTAAGAAAATAGTGGAGAAAACACTTAAGTATTAGTTTGTATTTAATATCAAATATTTTTTAAAACATATATTTTCAAATGAAATAATATTTTAAACAATTAGGCTCTTCATCARTCAGACACTACTCATGGACATGAAAATCATTTTATTGCTCACTCATTTTTGGGGAGGACATTTCATCATTGAAGTGGCKTATTTCTAAGAAGCAATTTGTTGGGAAGCAAAGGAGCATCTGGATTTGCCTGTGTTTCARAAGTTCTGTCTAACAGTTCATGTAGTTATTAACAGAAACTACTCTGAATGTCAGCAGTTTTATTTAATATCAAAATTAAGCTAACCTGGAGTGTGGAAATGGGAGGTTTTCCTGTATTTTGAAGGCATATGTGCCTGAACAAAAACCCACTAGTTGGGACTCCCTTAGTGAAAGTTAGGAAAGATGTGCATGTGGTGTTTGTCACTTGGAYTTCTTAGAGGTGAAACTTGCAGCTAAGCAGGCAGAGAGAGGAAGAAGGTAGACACAAATAATGAGGAGCTCTGTTTCCTAAATATGAAAGAAGAGACAAGAAAGTAGAGTTAAGAAACTGAGAGGAGGAAAGATTTCTGTAAGGAAGTAGGGAAAAAGCAGAATGCCAAAAAGCRAAGTTAAACTCAGATGGGCTTTTGGTGCTGCTGTTGTTGAATGTTGTCTGAAAAAAAATACAGAGAAATGCCTTTTGTAACAAATGCTATTCAGTTAGGAAGTTTCTATTGCAGTATTAATAATACKATGCTTTGGCATGTGTTTGCAGTGTCATTCCACATGTGACTRAATGGAACTCTCCAGGGAGTCTTTACCTGTTATTTTTAGACCATATTCTTCTCCCCCTGTGTATAAATTAAAAATCTGAGGAACAAACATAAAAAAATGAGCTTAAAATGAATTAATTTTTGTATTTAAATATAACCCCACTGTAAACATAAAATGATGGTAGTTTTGCCCCCTTTTGCAGGTGTATGTGGTTGGAGGATACGATGGGCAGAACCGCCTGAGCAGTGTGGAGTGCTACGACTCCTTCTCCAATCGCTGGACCGAGGTGGCTCCCCTGAAGGAGGCTGTGAGCTCCCCAGCTGTCACCAGCTGTGTGGGCAAACTCTTTGTCATCGGGGGTGGCCCTGATGACAACACCTGTTCTGACAAGGTCAGTTCGTTGTGTTTGATTGCATCTTCTATCCGCAACAAACAGCATTGCTGATTTCAAATCAGATCTTCCACATTGGCTTTAACTGGTTTTTGGTGAATGGAGTATTCTAGCACAAAAAATACAGAGTAGCAAATATTAATTGGATGATACACTGTTGCTGTGGTCTTTTTCTTGGATACATTGCTCATGTCATTGGCTTCGCAAGTTCTGTGAATTCTTAAGTGTGAGTGTTCGGAGAATARTRTCAAGTATTGTGCATATGAAAAARCTTYTGATAGATGGATCTGTATTTAYGTTGAGTCTGTTGTTGGTGAGGTACTGCTGCTTTGTCTCTCCTTGTGTAACATATGGGCATGCCAGGCTGTTCCATCAATTGGGCTTTCAGTCTGAAAGGCATGTACTTGTTTCCAGGTTCAGTCGTATGATCCTGATACCAATTCCTGGTTGCTCCGTGCAACCATCCCCATTGCCAAGAGATGTATCACAGCCGTGTCCCTAAACAACCTGATCTACGTTGCTGGCGGGCTCACCAAAGCCATTTACTGCTACGACCCCATTGAGGACTACTGGATGCATGTACAGAATACATTCAGCAGACAGGTAATTAACAATCAAACACCTATAGACAGCTGAAAGGTAACTTTTGGCACTGTTATCTTGGTATGAAATAAGTACACATTTGCTTAATCCTGATGAAATTGCATCTCTGATTCCATTCTTGCTTTACCTCTTCATCTGTGTAATTCAAAACCTCACAGAAGAGGACATTTCTAAACCAGCAGTTTTTCAGCTGGGTGTCACTGTTAGCCAGTCCAGGCTTTGCTTGAGAGCTGTTACTGGAAGAACAGGGTAACTGGATAGTGGATGATGATTTCATTGCCTAGAAATGATCTTTGTCGAATTCTGTTGCGTATTTTAATTCAGACTGAATGTACTAATTTTCCTCTAATTGATTAAAGCCTTTCAGTATAACAGGAGATACTAAAGGCTGTTTTTACAGTGTGAAAAAGCCCCACTGTATAGCACAGAAAGTGTCTGACTTCAGCAGTGAGARCTCTGTCACTCCATATGGGGGTCACTGAGCAAGATTTGAGCACATATCCCCTCAGTAGTGAAGTGTGTGTGTGTAGTAGTTTCATTTCCTCATGTTTTTAAAACACCAATCACATACTCTATGGTATTACCTCCAGAGAAATTTTGTTCTTTTCCCCARCCTTTCCTCTGTTCCTTTGTTTTGATCTGTGTTCTCTATTTAACTGAATATTTTCTCCATGCCTGCTTTTAAGGAAGAAATAAAATCCKATCTCTGTTTCAAGTAAGACATAGMATYGTCTTTTCTTGAGCACTCTTTTTTAGTCATGCCTTTTTTTCCTCTCCCCATYTACATCCCTCTTCATCATCTCTTACTCCTCTAAGGTGCTTCTCCTTGTTCCCATTCTTTGCATTAGTAGTACCTACTGTGGTCCCTCTCCTGAAAACCTTTGTTCTCTCCTCCTTTCTCTATCTCAGATCTTTAAATGGTAAGTACAATGTTCAGTTGTATTCCATTGTTTCCTTTGTCTGAGCTGAGTGTAGTAAAGGCTTAGACTTGAAACAGCCTTTTCTGTAGGACTGTGCTGCTGCTTTCCCTAATTTTTGTGCTCTCTGCACTGGCCCTTTCAGGAGGGAACAGTATAGGCCAGGCTGTTAAAGAAAGGCAGTCACGGGGCTGCCCTCCTGCACTGGGGCAGACACACACTAATCAAGTCTTGCTTTTTAAATAATCACGTATTCCCTTGTGTTTTCTTGAAACAGGAGAATTGTGGCATGTCTGTGTGTAATGGAAAAATCTATATCCTTGGTGGAAGACGGGAAAATGGTGAAGCCACAGACACTATTCTTTGTTATGACCCTGCAACGGGCATTATCACGGGAGTAGCAGCCATGCCCAGGCCAGTATCATATCATGGCTGTGTGACCATTCATAGATATAATGAAAAAGGCTTTAAACTGTAATATTTCTTTTTTCTTGAAAAACGAAGAAGAATGAATCCAGTGGTCTGCTGCAAGACAGGCTTTTTAAAGATTCCTGAAGTGGGAATTCCCTGCCTAAGCATCGTATGAAAATTATATCCTGTGCCTTTAGAAAAAGGGTTAATTTAACTTGCAAAACAAGTCTACAAATCTACCCAGTAACCAGAGTTCAGTTATATCTGCTGTGGGCTCTGATATGAGAGCAGTACACTGTACTGGTGGTCAGAAAGTTTGCCCTGTGTGTGATTAGTGATTAAAATCTTAAAAGCTTTTTGGGAAAAGTGCCTTCACAAGSATTTTTGCCTGTGTCCTAAGAAACAATATCTGCAAGGTGTTTCTGGTTCTGCTAATGGGAAAAATACATAAGCAAGTAAATCCCAAAGAATCATCTAGGATAATTATCTGCCATTTTAAAAGCTCAGTTATAATTCATATGCATCACTCATACAAGCAGATTATTTGGCTTTACCAAGTAGATTTTATGTCAGCTCATGCATGGGTTGAAATTAAAAATAAAAAAACCCACCAAAAAACCAAACCAAAAACAAAACATCAACAAAACAAGCTACATTGGACAAATATGAGAATCTTTTGAGGAATGATTTTTTCCGGAGGAAAAATTGGTTGTTTGGTGAGCCACTACAACACACTGCAGTGATGKTTGTGTTCCTTAACCCTGTGGAACTTTTTCATAGTGTTGATAAATGTCCATCAGAAGTACAAGGCTACATGACATGGAAAACCACTGAGTGCAGGCATGCATCTGTGAGGCAAAGTTTGAATCCCAGTTTTTACCTTTTTGAATAGTACAGGTGAAGGCTGAAAATTACTGGGTTCACTCTTTGCTCATTGCAATGTCTGAACTTTTTAAGAAATAAAGGATGTTGAACTCTGGATTCTCCCTGTTTTCTGAATCCCACTATAAATTACCTGATGTTAGAGGTGGGGACTTGATTTTGTGCCCTTCAGCCTACAAATTGTTCTTTGGCATGTTTCATCTGCAGAGATGGCAGAGTATCCACCAAGTACTTCTTGGCCTTTCTTCAGACAATCACTGTAGCACAGTTAAACTACTGTATGAGCTGCTTGGCCACAGATAAAAGAGTTCTGGAAAGGTCCTTCCTATCACCAGATAAATATCTGTGGACCTGTCCATGTAGCCATATGACATGTTTTGGATAATTTTGAAGCCTTGGAAGCATCTGTATTTTGATGCACCTCCGTTATTGCCTTGGGTTTTTTTCAGTAAAGGTATTTAAGTCCTCCCTAGATTTCTGTACTAGGACTCTATTTCCATATACAGTTGTACAGTTGAGGCACAAAGTTCATAAAAACAGAAATAGCACTTGAGAGTTGAAAAATGAATAGGGTTGCCTGCATACCAATTTCCTGTAAATCACCAAAAACCTCAGGAACTGCCTTTCAAAGGAATTCTGAGGACAGCAGCCAGTAGGGAAGTTGGTCAGTGCCAGGGCAGAAAAAACCCATAAAACCCCTKCAGAGCCAGCCCGGGCCTCAGGGTTCTGGTCTCTGTGCTTGCTCAGGAGGGTGAAAACAAGCACCATCTCTGGAACGTTGTTTGTTCCACTGGACTTTCCTAATCTGTTTTCCCAGAGTATTTCTTCATGAGATGGAAATTCTGACCCTCAGTGAAGCTATGCCAAACTAGGAGTCACCATTTTCAGTAACATGGTCATGACTTTTAAAGAGCACTGGGAGCTGCACTTTGGGAAAAGTTAACTTGTAACCTCAGGAAAGGACACAAATTTCAGTTTCTGGCTGAATACCAAACACTGCTTTGGATATGTTAAGAATACTGATAAAATCTAAGTCATTACATATCAGTGGTGTAATCAGGAGGTCAGTCCTGAGCATGTACATTCACRTTGCCCTAAAAAGAAAATCCCTTGRTARTGTAAGACAAATGAGTCAGATAAATTAATCCTTTTCTAAGTTTCATCTGTTTTTGCTCACCAAGTTCTACTTCAAAATGGCAATTTCAGAACCTGTGAATAAGGTCTGTTGATKGCAATGGTAATTGCCCTGTAACTGACTTTATGTACTAACAGTGTATATAGCTTGTGCCATCATTGTAAATGAAAATGTCAAAGACTATAGGAGCACTTAATTAGAGATGCAATTTGAAAAATATCCTCCTTTCYTTTGATTTCCTCTTGGTTGTATTCAGATTTGTAATGTTGATTGTCATGCTGTCCTAAACAGTCCTTATTCTGTAGGTGTAGAAGTGTCATTTAATCTGTGTTTATAATACTGCACTACTCTGTAAATAACAARATACTGCTTTCCATAATTTTGAAGATTCATTTTATAGTTTAGTTGTCTTTTTTAACAATTTATGTACTGTTACTGTTATCTGTTTTTTGAAAATGATAGTGTTTAACGATCCAGTAAATGCAGAAATGTAGATGCAGAAAACTTCTGCTTACAGTTCTTGAGAACCTGTGTCAAAGGTGAACAGTTACAGGTGTGGAGCATTGCTGAATGGCAGTTACTTATGCAATGATTTCTTTAAAACAGGCAGTGAGTTTTTTTTCCTTGCTTGCTAACTCTGTAGATAATTTGCACTTATGGCCTGCTCTGTTACATCAATTATTTTTAGATGTATTAGAAAAGAAAAATTTGACCTTGATTTATTGAAAACTTACCATTTTTCTAGAAGGATGCATTAATTTGGAAGTTGCATTCCTGAGCCACCTGTTCTCCAAYGCATTTCACTTAGGTATAGATAAAKTCCAAGATATAAACTCTCACTCTTATGCATATCTAGATRTTTGCAGTTTATGGGCTTGAGCAGCAAGTTGGTTTTAGTTTTTTCCTTTGTCTCAGCTAGKAGAGAAAATTATTAATGTCATCTACTCTAATCAAAATATTTCCACATAAATGGTAGTGGATTTGGTAACTCTAGAGCACCTGCACAAAGATGTAACTTCAGTCCATGGGAAGAGGGCTCAAGCATCTCCAAGTCACACCTGAAGAATAAATTGTAAGAAGTGTCTTCACTCCACTAAACAGAAATGAGTAGATATTTTTCTTCTCCATTTTGATGTCCATTTCTGTTYTTAGCAGTGTGATGTTAATTGAAAAGACAGTTGATGCTTTCTTGCAGCCAGGCTTCTGGAAGGTTCTGAATCTYTTACTGAACACTGCACCACATGCAGCCTGTAGCCCTTGGCTTCTTGCTGAAGCATTCCCCTTTTACAGCCACCAACCACAGGACAWTGCCTGTAACCATGGTTGTACCTGCGGGCTCTCTCCTTGGTAATGGTTAARTAGACATAATTTGTGGAATCTCTTCCATTTGTTCCATCAGATRAATCATTTTATACTGTGTGTCTGGTATGCATTTTGGGGATCAGGCATTCTGCTTTCCCTTCCAGCACTAAGGGGTCCAGACTGTACTATTATTTTTTTCTTTTAATTTGCACCAATGCAGTTCTCATCAAAGATTGCTTTGTTTGTACTCTTTTGAAGCAGAGACATTAATGCAGATTATGTTGATATGGASCCTTATAATTTACTGAAGCTTTTAAAATAGTATTTTTAACATTGCAAAGTTTTGAGAAAGGCTGGTGATGGAAGAAGAGRAAATGCTCAACTCTGTGTAACAGAGATTCAGAGGAAGCTTTGGTCCCCTGTGCTTGAGAGCAAGGACACTGCTGCCTGTTCCAGTTTCTTCCTCAAAATAGTTGAGTTCACCTCATTATCTTAGGTAAACACTGTTCATGCTGTTTTTCTTTCACTTGCTGCAAGGCCAGAACAAGAAGCAGGCCCATTCACTGCCTGTGACCTGAGGTTTCCCCCTTGCCCGAAGCACAGCGGGTGCTGGCCAGCAGAGCCCCAGCTTAGTCCAGCTCCAAAGAGCAGAGACAGGAGAAAGGCACTGGAGCGGRCTCAGAGATGGCAGGAGGAAACGCTGTCTTTGGGGTTTATTGTTTGGCTGGGCTCGCTGAAACCAAGGTGTTCTGGATGCTCGTAAGTTTGCAATTCCAGATGCTGAAACTCAGGTGGTAAAAATGTTCCATGTTTGTCAATTCCCTGAACTCGGCTGGAGCAATAAAGATGCAGATATGCTTATRGTCTGCTAGTGGCAATGCTCAGGAAAGCCAGGGGTTTGTTTTTCTGAATTGCCCAAGTGGAAAGTATATGTGGGGTTCTTTTTTACAACTGAAGATAGCAAAAATCAATTCAAGASCATTAAGAAACTCACAAGACTTGATCACTGTGAGGCACAATCTGAATGTAATCTCAAGTACACAAGGAAGTACAAATGAAATGCTTTGTTGTGCCTGGTTAAAAAAATCTGAGCAACATAYACTCAGAAAAGGAGCCTAGAGGGTAAGATGAAATTTCTAAGCAGGAGCCTGTTATCTGGGGCCAAGCAGTGTTTTGGGTTTTTTTTTTTAAATATGTTTAGCACACAACTTTTCCTCAGTATGGAATTATTTCAGATGGCATCAATAAAAATGGRTCATGATGGTGTCAGTGCTGTGAGCATTGCCACAAACCAGCAGCCTCGCACCAAGCCCAAACCTGCTGTGACTCCACATTCTCTGCACACTGGCTTTGTGTCAGCTRTCTTCCCTAAGTAGTGTTATATACAAGTTCATGTTACTCAGAGCATTCAGCCCTGATAACATTATTAAGAACTGTAAGTTATTTACAGGAACATTTCTTTTTTTCTACTGTAGGGATCCAGTCTATGCTCATATGTTTATGTATGCACATCTGTATGTGAATAATTTTGTGATCATTTTCGGATAATGCTGTTACAAGTGATGCACATAAAGGCCCTGTGTACAGCTTGTTAATAATGTAATTATGGCTTAGTTTGTATTATTAGCTCCAAAGAAAATAATGTGTGCTGATTTTGAAAATACCTGTGCCTTGAATTCACCTATATTTTTATCTATTGTGAAAAAGAGCTTGGATTACTTCTCCCAGTTTGTTACCTTTATTATGATTGGTCTTACTGTCCAGACTGGTAATGTCCACCTAGGAGAAATAAATCTTGCCATTCATTGATTAGAGCAGTTAAAGTTCTGTTTAGAATATGCCTATAATGCTTCCATTATTACAGTGCTATGGCAGATTTAATCTAGGGAAATCAGTATTTGTTTTTTTCTATTTTTTGTTTCCAGCACACCCCAGTGACAAAGGACTGAGTTTAGTCTTTGACTTCCTGTCCTTAACATATACGGTTTCTTGTATTAGTCAGTAGCCTCTCTGATATTTCTGAACTCTCTGAAGTCATCAACCTCTTGTTCAAGATACAAAATATGAAGCAATAATGTGGTGCAGCACGGCAATAAGCAAATCAAGAGACTTGAATGTAATGTACTATTACTACTTTCATCTGTGTAAATGCTGGACCTATGAGTCATTCTCCTTTTGGTGCACCTGTAGCATTTTGGAGTCGGATTAATAGGAACTACTTGGCTATGGAAAGAGAGTTTACCTCCTGAACTGTTACTCATGATATTTTTGCCTGAAATCATGTTTTGATTTTCCTTTTTTTGCCGAGGAAAACAGTGGTTCTTGTTATTCCTTGCCAGTTCCTTTATTTACTGAAACATAAAAGCTGTAGTTCCACAGAGAGCTGCTCTTGTCCTCAAGAACAGCCTGGTGCAGCACAAATGACATTAGAAAGGAAAGCTCAGACCGCTTACTGTGTGCCAGAGTCAATGTAATGTATCTCGCATATAACATTAAGGTCTTCAGATTGTGCTGACAGTAGAAAAGTGATTTTGTAATGTAGCACAATTGCAATAACACCTGTTATATTTAAATATATTTCTTGCATAATTCTTTGAAAGTTTTTTAAAGTTCAATGTATCTAATAAACATTTGCCTTTTGAATAGTTCACTGTGGTTTATTTAGTTTATGAGAAGTACCAGGGTAGGGGCTCAGTGGTACAAGGAGGAAACACCCTTCTTTTTGGGTCACTTAACTTGGATTCTGCCCCTTGTGCAGTCTCTCTCTGTTCTCCTGCCTCCCAGTTTAGGTATTTTTCCTGCTCATCTTTCTGTTTTCAACATGGAACTTTCCACAGAGGGGAATAGAAGCAAGCTGGAGGCTGCGCAGAAGARTAAACAAGAAAACAAAAAATTAAAAGGGAGAGGTGCAGGATGTGAAATACTTGTTAGTCCTGGGTACTGGGAAGGAATGTGAATGGACTTGGAAGGCAAAATCAGCATGGGAAATAAAGAAAAGGTAACAAAAGATTGGGAAGGTGACTGGCATCAACATGGGTTGGAAGGAATCTTGTGGAAGATTTATTCTCCTAAAAGCAGAGGTTTGGCTGTCTCAAGATCCCACGAGCAGGGAGGTCAGACTGTGCTAGAGCACTATAGAAAACGTGGCAGGCCAGCAGTGCCTGCTGCAGTTCAGAGGGGCCAGGCTCGGGTACAGCCACAGAGTGGCTCTTGCTGAAGTGCCACAAGCAAGTACCGATGGAGTTCAATGCTTGCAGATGCTCAGCTTACTTCAGAAAGAAGTAATGTGGAAAAAAAGATGGAAGGGAATTCACAGACTGCAGAGCAATGGAAATATTTTGGACAGCTGGAAAGCCCACCTTAAGATATTTTAAGTCTTAAACAGTCAAATGGTGGCAGTATTCTAGTAACAGCTTCTTGCTCTTCCCATTAAGCAGAAATAAGAAAATAAAATTGAACTATATTACAGACATTGCTTGGGAGCAGGRTACTAATTTGACTTTAAGAACATTCTCCATTGATCTGCCATAGTTCATGTTTGTTGACTGACAGAAAGAAAGGCTAGTAGTGTCAAAGACGATAGTACTGATCCTGAAATCAGAAGAGAAGATGACTTTAAGAGAGAGATAAGCTTTGAACATTCAGCATACACTTGCTAATTAGTGGCTTTATAAATTATTTACAAATCCATGAGTGAGCAGGATGTTAACTTAYGTTGGTGAAGGGTTCACTGCATGAAATGAGACTGCCACAGACCAAAGCATGAATGCCATTAGCTGCACCTGAGAGGTGTTGCAACCTGGCCAGAGCCAAACACAAACCATGGCATTAACTSCACTCATTCGTATTGGTTTAGTTCTGATTTGAGAGGATATGAAATATGGTGACCACCAAGTATGGTATAAGAGTTTTTTGAAGCCTATCTGAGGGTAGCCAGGGCTGCCAATTCTGGCCCATGCAGCAGGGGCTCCTGCTATGATGCACATCCCTCAGTCCAGACCTTTCTTGTGTGCTAATCAATCCATTAGGCTGAAAAGAGCTCAGAGATCATCGAGTCCAACCTGTGACTGAAGACCACCTTGACAACTAGACCACGGCACTAAGTGCCGCATTCAGTCTTTCCTTTAATACCTCCAGGGAAGGTGACTCCACCAGGTCCCCGGGCAGCCCATTCCAAAGCCTTATCACCCTTTCTGTGAAAAATTTCTTCCTAATGTCCAACCTGACCCTCCCCTGGCATAGCTTAAGGCTGCTGTCCTACAACCTCGTAGAGACCCATAAGGTCCCCCGAGCCTCCTTTTCTCCAGGCTAAACACCCCCAGCTGCCTCAGCCACTCTTCATCATATTTGTGCTCCAGATCCTTCTCCAGCTCCATTCCCCTCTCTGGACACACTGCAGCACCCCGATCATCCTTTCGTGAGGTAACTTCCACATTAAAAAGTCTTCCCCAGATTTTATTACATGTTAAAACACCGTTGTTCCAGGCAGCAAGTCAGGATCAAATCACTCCATTAGTCTCTCCCTCTCTCCCTACAAGATCTCGACCGGTCGCCCATCTCGGTTTCTCCGCTGCCGCGGGCGAGCGCCCACGCTGCCTACAGCCCCAGCTCTAGCGCGGCCGGACCTCCACTGCCCCCTCGGCTCGGCCGCTCTGCCCTGAGGGAGCCCC